GATACTAGAAAAACACCTCCTAAATTAGATTCTGTGTCGAGTCCACCTAAACCGGCAAAGAAACAATGCAAAGTGGATGATATTTTGTTGAAAGTTACCAGCAGACAAACCAAGTTGCAGGCAAAGGAAAAGAAAGCTCTGGAAGAAGCAACGCAGTGTAATGGTAAAGAGGAAGTGCCGGATATTAAGAACTTGCCACTATCTAGGCGGAGTAGAAGTAAAGCGACGGAAGCTCTAAAGATGCCGCAACTCACGCCTGAATCTCCCAGCACAAAGAATAGAGCCGAAAGTCCTGTGATACCACCACCTTCATTATCTCCACCGCCTGAGTCGATGAAGAGCTCTCCCGTTCGAAATAAGCAGCCGTCTGTGCCAGAGTCACCGTCCACGAAGCACTCCAATAACAGCGAGAATAAGAGTGAGGAGAACGCGGAGGACAATGGTTTGCCCGTTCCTACGGAAACAGAAGTTGTATCTGCGAGTTCTGGCGAATATGAGGGCGGCGATGAGGATGAAGGGGAAGAGGAAGAAATAACCGCACCAACGCCTAAACCAGTGACGCAATTGGCCTCGCCTGGCACGGAGAACCCCGCGAAAGAATCGTGTGAAAACGAGAAAGCGGATACCAAGATTCAAGAGAAAGACAACGACGAAAGTTCGTTGCAGAAGGTGGAAGCAGCGGATCTATCACCAACGGTCGGCGACGATCAGACTGAAACTTTAAATGAATGTGATAAGGACTCCGAGATTGACAAGCGCCCAGTTTGCAATCCGGAGACATCGAAATCAGTACCTGAACCAGTTATTTCACCAAAAGAGGAGGAAGTCGAGAAATTGGAAAGCAGCATTATGCCGAAGAAGGATGAGCGTGATAACCCTCCTAAAGAGGAGCTTGTTAGCGAAACACCGAAGGATGTCAAGATTGATCTGTCGCAACCGAAAACGGAACCTATATCCACAGAGAAGAAAGACACATGTGCTCTCGTCAACGCGGCGATGACATCGGAAGCCGAGCCTCTCACGCCGCAAGAGAAAACGTTGCCCATTGTAGAACATCAGGATACAACTTTGCAGTTACAAAATCAAACGGAAGAACTGAAACAGCATTCGCCTGAAAGCGGTAAAACCACGCCACATCTTGACAATCCGGGCTCAGTGAAGAGAACACCACCGTCGCAACCAGATTTGCCATCTATGGGAGTCTATACACCTGATTCGACGACTAATTCTGTACATTCGTTGCATTACAGTCAGTGCGATCTAGATGTGAGTCAATTGGGCTTAGAATCGCCCACTTCCATAGCCAGTGATCTTGCATCGCAAAATAGCGTGGAGAGACCTCCTAGTGCTTTACCGTCTATTCCACCGCCTGCGAATGTACCGATCTCAGTCTCCATGCAGATTACGCCGCCTGTTACATCATCCGTGTCAGTGAATATGCCGCAACAAGTGCAGTACGCCGATTGTTCAATGCCGCAGCATACACCGCCGGCTCATCATCCGAGCATCCATCCGATGCATCAGCCACATACCCCGCAATCCCTTCAGCAACCGCGTACTCCGCAGAGCATCCCAACTCAGAGTCCACAGCCACTTCCGCAGAGCCATACGCCGCAACCAATGCCACAATCGCATACGCCGCAAAGTATACCTACGCAGAGTCCGCAACCATTGCCGCCAAGCCATACGCCTCAGCCGTTGCCTCAATCACATACGCCACAACCGATGCAGCTTTCGTTGGCACATCAAGCGCAGAGTCAAAGTATGGCGCATAGTCAATCTCAGTCTGCACAGTCGCAACAGCAACAACAATCTACGCATCAACAGCAGCCGCCACAGCCTCAACAACAGCAAACTCAGTCTCAATCACACAGCAAGCGAGCCAGCGGTTCACAGACCACACACAGGTCCAGGTCGACGCAACAGAGTAGCAGGTCATCACATCGGGCCACCCCGCCGGCTTCTCATGCCACTCAGACCTCTCAACATAGCGTCGCGACGTCGCAGACCAGTCACAGCAGTACCGTGGCACATACGGCACACGTTGCGATGCCGCCACAGTATCAGCAGTCGCCGTCGTCGATGAGTGTGCCACCGGCAGTACATCCACATTCGCACACCCCGCATGCTGCGCATTCACACAACATGGCAGTAATTTCGCAAGGCAACTACATGACAGTAGCGGGTTCGCAAGGTTTCCCACAGAATACCTACGCTGTAATCCAACATCGCAGCGGTCGTTCTGGCGCGCCGACACCTTGTACCACCGCCACGAATTTCTATATACAAACAAACCCCCCGATGCCACCACATTCGCATACCCCGGCGCCGACACTTTCTACTTCCGGTGGTAGTCATCAGACCACCAATTCGTGCAGTCTGGCGAAATTGCAACAACTAACTAATGGTCTGGAGATGATACCGCCCACGCCGCCACCAGCGATGAACCTCACACCGCCGCCACCCATCCCACATACTATGACACCACCTCAGACATCGCGGCAACTACCAACGCCACCTCAAGTTGGACCTTTGGGCTACGCAAAAAATTATTGTTACAATGTCAACACCGTGCCTCCTGGCACGCCCGGACCGCCTAGCCGATCCACCTCGCGTTCATCCGCGAACAATATGCCATCACTCACACAGCCTTATCCCAGCGAGAGTCTCTACCGGCAGACCCTTGATCCAAGCGGCACCTGCCCACAAATGCAAAGTGCGGCGAGTCGCGTCAGCCCGAATGTTGCCCTCAATACGAATCTCATGGCAGCCGCTCAGTATAGTTACCGGGTAGCGCAACCAGCGACTGGTTATATGAATCAAGCAGCGCAGCTTGGCGGCTTTATGAATCAGGCGAGCCAGTTACCAGTCGGCGTGGTGAACGTACCGGCACCGTATCCGCAGGATCCGCACCAACAGAATCCGGCGGCTGTTTACACCACGTACCACGGCTACATCAATGGTGGTCTCATGCAACCCCTTAACAGCTCCATGAGGCCGCGCTAGCCACCGCGATTATCACCTACTCCTATCGAATCAATCCCTCTCGATGTTTGGACGGACGAACGAACTTCTTCGCGCGACAAGTTAATGCTCTCTTCGATACGACCATCGATGGCGACCATTTTCGATCTTCTACCATGTGACTGACGCCGTGGGCTGCATTTCCCCGATCACTTGCTGCCTTCACCAACTCTGTCCGCGAATCAGACTTGTTGGAATCTTCTCGTCACACTGATCCACCTTTGCGACAATCCTTTTTTCCGATCCAGGTGCTCCACGGAGCCTCCGAAGATGATGGTGCTGCAATCGCTGCGATTGGCGAATACAAATGGCATACATCGATAGCCGTAATGGACAGTGCGGCAGATCGCAAGAGAACTCAGTGACATGTTTTTAAACAGGAACTATGTTCGGTAATCCGTTCGTCAAGCACACAATCTTATTTTACTTTCTTTATCTTAATCCAGCAGATTATATTCGCGAATTATTAGCATACTAGTACAGTCGAAATTGTTGCGCGAATATATATGCCTATTACTGTTTTAACTGCACATTCAATTTCAGAAAAACAGGAGGAGAAAGATAAAGGTGGATAATTGATATTGATATATATCTCTTTCGTCTTTTTATCCACGCTCGCCGACAGCGGGACATTGCTCTTCTCCGTACTGGAGGAAGGCTCGTATTAAACTGATTCTTAACTTGTCGACAAAGATTGCACACAAGGTACAATTTAATCATAGTTATCGGTCGGTGATTCTTCGAAGGCACGAGTTCGTATACTTGTGCATTTTAAATAGAAAAAAAAAAAAAAGAAAGGGAGATTAGACGTTATCTTGGACGGATTAATTTCGATCGGCCAAGATATCGCTCTTTCATTTCTAATTTGAAAGAAAGAAAAATGGGGAGTGTAAAAGAAAAAGTGCGGATACCTATTTTAGTAGGGCATTCCTTCGCGAACCGCAGCAGTGTTACGTTTTATGTATTTATATATATATATATTATAAATATATATAAATATATTTACGAATAATATTCTGTTTGATATTATCAATTGTTAAACATTGTTATTTAAGTTGGCACACTTGTACTTTACTGTATCATAAAGAAGAAAAGGTAACTGCGCGTAATGCTATGATAATCTTCATTGTATTATTACGGAAGAGTCGTTTAATTGTCGCCGACATCGTCTCACCAGTGTAAAATCGTCAATCTCGATCGTCAGCGCCATCGTTTACATGATTTTTATCAATTGTTATTATTATTATTATTATTATCATCATTATTATTATTATCATCATTAATAATCATTACTATTGTGGCAGATGATTGAACACATACAAAACAGAGACACGTAACACACACTCACACACAAACAAACACACAGACTGACACAAGAAACATATTCATGCGTTATATTTTAATTGTCACATGTATGATGTCACATTCATTCGTTCGGTATTCATTACTCTCTGTATGTTTTTATTATCTAATATCGCGAGAAGGTAGCTCTAGTTCGGAAAGAATAACGGAGCACGCAATCAGGCTCTTCCACGAAGCGTCGCGAGACTCGTGCCGAAATTATTTTTTGTATCGAAATCGCGAGAGAAAGCATGTGTGCGCGTTCGTTGATTTCCCTTCACGAAGTGAAGGAAAGAAGAACGGTAGCGTGAAGCACGTGCTGTCCACGTTACCCCGAAAATATTGCCCTGAATCGCGTAATTTCCCTCCCTCGTTGTGGGCGACGCTTCGCGGAACGGTCGTGACGAAAAAAATAATATATTTATGGTACGAAACGTTACGAGTTCAATTTTTTCAGACGAGAGAAACGAAAAAAACGAAAGAAAAACGGCAGATCGCCTAGTTTAGAGTAATTGAATGATAAGATAATTAATAATGTATAAAATACATATTTATTGTACATAGATCTAAAAAAAAGACTACTAACAAATAAAAAAGAAATCAAAAATACGTAATCGCGTCTTTGATTGTTTCCAGGTGCCACGTACGACGACATATTGCGTGTAAGATCACTTCCTTGCGCAAGATAGATCCTTTACAAGCTTTGTTACTTCATCCTGGACATAGGAATGCGATCACATCTCTAGCTTGCATTTGAAGAGTTCTGAGTAAAAGTGAAATAAGTCCATAATTTATGTGATTTCTTGGGAGATGTATATATATTCTCTCTTAGATTTTACGAATTACATTCCTCCTCTTCCTCTTATCAGATATATTATTTGGATATATAATTACAACTTTTTGAATCTTTTATAATTTTATGAACTTAGTCCACTTTTATCTTAAATGGTTCACTTGGCTTTAGAGTTGATGGTGATTTACACGTCATTACTCTTACTTCTTTTCCACGGATTACCTCGAATGTGTGGACGATCGTTTTCTCTTCCGTTTCCTCTCCTGACGTCGTTTCTTCTCCTCGTTGGCAAGATCCACATATTTCTTTCTCTGTTCGGGAGTCATCCGGGACCACAATTTGCCCGCAGCTCGCGCAATCACAGTGACATGCTCATTCGGTTTTTTGCTACGAAGTCGCAGAAAGAAAATGATGAAAGGATTCGTCGCTCGAGGACGGACGTTGTGCCCGTCCTTTTGGCTCTGTGAACTTTGACTGACGGCTTTACCGCTTCTGTTCGCGGGTTGTCTACCTTTTCCGGTATCTGCGCTACGTGAAAGGCGAAACTGCAAAGTATGCTTTTGCGTGTCCCATTGATTTCATCGATATAAGTTCCACCTACTATATTCTATATTACGACATCAAAAGCAAACAATTCTTGCGCTTTTATGTCCACATAAGTAATTATTAGTTGAAGAAATCGCTTTTTCTATAAAAACTAAACAAAATCTGAAAAATGATGCAGATATTTTTCTTCACTTTTGATGCTTTTTCAAAAATTTAAAGGAGATGTAAATAAGTGACTCGAACATGTCTATTCCAAGGACAAATCAAGAACGAAAAATATGGAGTTATATGAGACCAGTTTCGTCATAAAGTAAGAAATTATCTTACTTGCCCTCTTTCCGGTCTTTATGAATCTTGGGAGGTTGCGCGGAGTTAGCGTTTCCCATTTTCGCCTCACTTTACGGAAGTGTCAACGAATGTCTCGACAGTTAGTGTTGTACTTGATAATTTATTATTTATCATTCACGCTGGTCGCGGCACGGTGATTTTGCCCGGGGACAATTGTCACATTGACATTTGTATCAGAAAGACCGTCCATTGTTTTTTCAAAAGACAAACACGATTTTAGTATCACTTGTATTGATATATTCTAAAAGGAAATCATTCTCAATCTTTTCAAATTTGTTCAATTAATTTAATATTGTACGTATCTCTTATTCTCTACTTTTATTTTGACAAAATTTTTCATTAACAATTATTTTAGTTGCAACAGGAAACTTAATTTTCTGATATTTTTTTTACCAAATTCGACATTTCTTACGTTTAATCTAAGGTTTACAAATTATGAGGAGAACGGCATTACAAAAATTACAGATTTTGTTAGTAAATCCAAAATTTTTACAAATTTCTATTCTATTTAATACGCTTTGTTGTATAAATACAAGTATTATTATTTTTATATTATATTATATGTGCAATGTTATAATTCTCCTCCGGCTTGCGCCGCTTTCTTCGGTTTCTTATTTTTGCTCCACTTGTCGGGACAGTAACAGGCTTGTTTCTGGGCGTCGAGGAAGCTCTTGCAACCCAGTGTAATCGTTCCTGTGAAAAGAGCCTTGGCCGCGGCTTTACACGTATTAACGATGCTGGTAGCGGTAGTTTGATACGTGTCACAATATTTGTAGAGGCATCTTTTGAATTCTAGATCACACTTCTCCTTATCCGTATTGCAAGTGTCGTAGCAAATGTCGTGAGCGTCGCAGCATTTCGTCATTTCAGTGAGTGGAAGGTATTCCTGGTTCACCTATAAATATTTGTAATAATTTGTAACGATCATACCCGACCAGAAAACAGCCTAGTCAACATCAACTAACAATAATAAAAATCAATGCAATGGTATAACAATTTTAAACAATTCTGAATGAAATAAGATTTGAATGCAATCTTCAAAGTTTAAGTCTGATTTTTTTGTTTAGTTTATATCATATACCCTTCATTACCCTCCACACAAGTAGAAACAGTTTATCAAACTTGAATCTTGAAAACTGGATTCAAATTTTCTTTCGTTCGAAATTATATTATATTCGAAAAATTGTGTACCATCTTATTCTATATAAATTCACATTCAACAAAATAAATGTAACAAAATACACGTTTCAGGCAACAGTTACATTATTGTTAAGTGTGAAATTATAATCGCTGTTATTATATTATTATGCTGCTATTATTTTGTGACTTTAATGTTATTTTAATGTCAACTTGACTTTTGTTCTCTGCTTTGATATACTTAATATAATTATAAACGTTGCAAGCTAATAGAAACTGCAAAATGTACACACTTCTAGTAATATTGCAAATTAAGTTACAAACTCAACTAGATTAAATTATAAGGTCGATTACATTAAATTACAGACGCGAATAAAGTTATAAATTTAATTGTCAACTCAGATAGTAAATTATCGAGAAATGTAAATATTAATCAAATTATAAATAACGATGCACACTTGCTCGTGCAATTAATTAGCAAACATGAAAATGCGATAAAAAGTTTTGATATAGAAACATTGCGTATATCACTTATCGCTTATCTATCCTCTCGGGGGAACATACCAACCTGGATACCAAGGGACCCACATCCGTCACTCCGCGGTTTGTGATTCCAGTTCGCCTTCGGCGTGGATCCTGAAAACGGTTTGAATAATGCGTCATTTGTCCAATTGCAACCGCTCGTCCAATCACGACGCACCATGTCAGTCGTGTTTCACATCGTTTCACATTTGTGATTTGTGCGCTCACAAGAAATGAAAGCTAATCTTTACTCATCGCAATTTTTTCCCTTCATAACTGTCCATAATCTCTGCGATCGATATGAAAAGCATAACAAAATGGTGGTTAAAAAAGAACAATAGTTTTGTTTTATTAACGAAATTATGGGGCAATTTCTAATTAACTTGATCATCGATTATAACAAATTAATTGACAAATAATTAAACAATATCTATATTTTTTCTTATAAAATAGAATTATTAATGTTTTATTGCGTGACGTAATACATATAACATAAAGATTCATTGAATCACCGATTTTGTTATAGGTCCGATTGTTCATTTTCTGAAGAACTTTTGGTTTATTTAACCTTATGATAATATAAAAATTGTATCTTTTTAAACATAGTTTTGTAGTAATTTTTAAAATCACTATAAAATTATCAATTTAGTGATTATATATAATCATAATTAAAAAATAAATTTTTATATCATGAAGTTAATAAAATGAGGTTAAGTTTGAACAAGTTACATCAGAAAATGAAAATAAAAACTCAATGCTTTTATATTTATTTCAATGTATTATAAATTAATTTATCTTGGTCAATCTTGATTCATTTACTTTTTTGTGACATATATGCTTAGAATTATAAAAAAAGATAAAAAATAAGTTAAATTGAGGTTAAAAATTAACATACATTCGTAGAAATGGATATTTGGATATTAATCAAAGTTTATAGTCAAATGCTACAAAAATCTCATTGTCAGAAGAATTTCAGAGAACGAAAACTGGGCCAACCGCCAACGGAGAAAGGAAAGGGGTGTAGAAAGTGCAATATTAAAAGTCAGAAATGGCCAGAGATTCACGCGGATCGATCGAGGGAACCGACCAATAGCGTGACGCCGTTGGAGAATAATCTGATAACCAAGCGACGATGACAGCTGATGATATTGCACGTTGGATTTACACTGCTACGCACCGTCAGGACATTTGAAGACGCAGTGCTCTTCCACGGCGGCGTCGAACACCTCGTGTATGTCCTTGATCTTCTTCGCCACGGTTATGGCGTTGGCGAAGAAGTCCTGAAAAACCGTCTCCGCCGCCAACACGGCGTCCCGTAGATTCGTCAATAACCCGGCGCCGTAACCGGACCAAGCGTATGCCAGGAATGTCAGCACATAAACAATGATTTTGCGATACCGCGTCAGATCCATATCTTCCTCACTTCGCGGCCGATCGGCCCTGGATGGACACGATCGAGCGACTCTCACACCGAACTGCGGATATTTTTAGACAGGCGTGTGCGTGTCCACCACCGTCATCGAGGTGGACACGTGGTGCCCCGTGTTGTCGACCGTATCGACTTGAATTTAATTACTTCGCCTTAGTTTAGTTTTCTTTTTCACTTGCGTTAATAAATCCTTTCTACGACAAGATTGATTACGTCGATTTGCCAGAAGAGGAGGAAACAGAGAGTGCAGAAAGAGCAGCTGACGAAAGACGGCTTGCTTTTTACCTTGTCATGTCATGCATGAGACGCGTAACTTTCCATCCACGAAAATAATAAAATAATACGCAAATTAAAATTTGAAGCTACTTCTTTATGTAGATATTCTATATATATATATAAATTAAATTTGTCAATTATAGTTAGTTTTTTAAAAATGACTCCAGCCGTACTACAATTAATTTTAATTACCAATTAGCTTATCGAGTAAACTATATAGCTTTTATGAATTAATTGAATGAATCAATTTTTTATTTCATGAAAACGAAGTTGGAGATCAAGGATAACAAATTAAGAAATTTTCCTGTAATTTTTGCCGTAAGAATTATTCAGAATAAATAAATCAATTAAATTGGAAGTTAATTGATTTGTTTATTCAAAACCTTCAACTTAAATTAAATAAACATAATTTTATTTTATAAGCTATTTTCTACAAACAAATTTAAATGATTAAGTAATTATAAAGTAAAATTAAAAAATGAAGTTAATTAATATTTTAATCATATTTATTTTTATTTATTTCCAATAATAAATGCAATTAATGAAAGCAGAATAGGAGTTAAAGTTTATTCAAAAGGTATCTGCTTTTCTATTTTAAGTCAGCATAGATATAGATATGTATATATGATTTATTGTTAGAATAATTTGTTCCTTGTTATACGAACAAATTATTTTTAAAATTTATCACAAGACACATCGACAATGGAAATTTAAAATTTTTTTACAAGTTCGCCACTTTGTAACAATTTCTTTACGTCGGTACCGCCTCCTAAACACTCTCCGTTGAGGAATACTCTGGGCACTGTCCTGGCACCAGTTATTTCACCCAGCACATCTTGTATTTCCTGCGCATCCTCTCTATCGTCTAACTCTATCGCTGTGTACGACTTCTGTAACGAGTCAAACACCTGCACAAAAAAATTTGATGAAACTAATTATAAAATAAATAAATTATTTCAATATAAACTAATAATTTATTATCAATTCTCTTTTATAACTAGTAATAAATATGAACAATGTAAATAATAAATTATTAAATTTGTATACCGCAGTGCAGAAAACGCGATTTTTTCAGCAAATTGCAAATTAGTGCACAACAGAAATATAGGGGAGAGTGGTCTAAATCGGACCTATTTGTAGTTTTTGTTCTGTATAAGGCGTAAATTAAGTCCGATTATAAAACCAATGGTGCCGTTCGAAAGATCATTTACCTTCATTTTTGCTTTAGACTATTTTGACGTATCTCTTACCTGTGTCAAACTATAATGGAAAATGTAAAAATGCATTTTCCGGTTTGGAACTATGAGTTCCAAATCGGACCATCCCCTGTTCCAAATCAGACCTCTCCTATTTTTATGGATTTTTAGATAGAATTTTAAAATATTTTAATTAATTTTTTATTAATATTGAGTAAAAACGAGCACAATTTATGACTCAAAGATAAAAATTTTATTCAGAAAACACAATATAAACTTACAATTTACAGAATTTTATTATTAGAATTAAAATCAATAAAAAATTCCATCAATCTGAGTCTGATGATACATATTTTATTGATTTAGTGTTCCTTGGACCAGATCTGGTCGGTCGATCACCAGTACTGCAACTAGGTTGTGGCGAATCTTCTTTCTTCGATGAATTAGCTGGCTTACTCGTCTTATCAGTGTTTTTTGTTCTCGTTTGCGTTGTTTGTCTTTGATGCATTTGTTTTGTCGTTTCCTCTAAAGTAGTAGTTTCAATCACAGCATCATCAGTTAAAATAGTTGTTTTTTCCGGTTTTCGACCCCGACCGGTATTTTTACGTAGAGATGTTTTTGGAATTGGACAAATGGATTGCAGTGTTTCGTTCAAATTTTTTTCTATGTTCTCGTTATGTTCGATAGGCCGATCAGTTACCGAACTGGGCAGGAAATCAATTTCTTGAAAAATGTCAGGATTTAATGGCCAAATGCCTGTTGCTTGAAAGCCGGATTTTATGTTTTCCTCGATGGTACTAAGTTCAAGCGCTCGAGCTGTAATTTGTGGCACGTCATAAATTGTTAGTGATCTACCAGGGTTTATTCGCATCCAATTATCACATTGATCATTGAGTACTTTTTTAAAAGGACCAAAGACGCTGACATCAAGCGGTTGTAGTCGATGTGAATAATGTGGAGGAAAGAAAAGAACATGAATTCCATTGGTTTTGCAAAAGTTCAACACTGCGAACGACTTATGCGACTCGTGATTGTCAAGCAATAACAAAAGTGGGTTTTTGATGGAAACACGCGTAAATTTCTGAAAATGTTTCAGAAAATCAAGAAAAATATCAGCATTCGTCCAGCCGCTTGGGTTTGCGGCGCCAGCGCATCCTGTGGGGCCACCATTTAAAAAATGTTCTTGGAATCGGGTTCGAGGAAATACATAGAATGGAGGTATTTTGATACCTTCTGCTGAGACAGCAAATATCATTGTGATTAATTGTCCTCTTTCAGCGGAAACTACATGACCTTTTTGTTTGATGCCACGAGAACTAATAACACGCTGTGGAGTGTGACAGGTGGTAATATCGGTTTCATCAACATTCCACACTGAGTGTGCTTCAAACGGTATTTCACTTGATACTTTTCGTAAAAGAGTGAAAAATGTGTTTACATTGTTGCAGTTGAATGCACCCACTCGACCTAGGCTTGTAGCTTTTGCCATTTTCAATGAAAGGGTTGGATGCCGTCTCATAAAGCCAAGAAACCACTCACGCCCCGCAAGTTGATCCTCTTTCCAATTTTCTGGCATTTCGACATGCAATTTGCATGCAAATTGATACGCCAATGAACGAATCTCTACAGAAGTCATACCAAAAAATATGTCTGAACAATGTAACAAATATTCTTCCAAACATTTTTCTTGTTCTTCATTGAACACCTGAAAAAAGAAAAATATAGAAAAAAAAAAAAAGGAAAACATGAAAATAGTAAAAAAAAAACAAAAAATTATTCAAAACTCACTGTTGAACGGCCTATCCCTCGAATTTGTATATCACTCATCGTCAATGATGATGTTGATGATGTTTCTGTGCCAATTATGTTATCATTTGCACGTTTATGACGAAGCAATGTTGTGCGCGGAATGTTGAACTTACGCGCTGTTTCTCTCAATGATTTTCCATTTTTTATATCCAAAACAGCAAGCTGAAACACTTGTGTGTCTATTTTGTCTGTTTTTCGTTTATAACCGCGGCCCATTTTTCACTAAAAAGCCAAAAAAAAGTCACGAATCGTAAAAACATTTTCACCTGCAACACGTTTTTCACAACATAAGGTATGTTTACATACTTTAATGCGACACATAAATATGTTTATTTATAGGATTTAACCTTACCTGTAAGTCAATCCGAGACTCACACACAATACGACGTAGTATTTCGTAATAAATAAAATCGAAAATTTTAAGAAAGCTAGGGCTCGGTGTGATAACACTATATGGATTTGAATATTTGTGCACAATCCCGTGGAGAATCCCTGCCGTACGTGCAAGTAGGTGCATATACGTGTATGCGTATACGTTCGGCAGCGTGCACCAGAGACGATCAACGTACACACACTCGCATGCAGCGGTTCTTCGTGCAAAGCTCTGAACGTCCGGGCTTTACTGGTAACACACATACACTTATCGGCCGAGGCCTGTAAGTTATTTACTGTACTGTATAGGTTCGATTTGGACACCAAAAGAGAGGTCCGATTTGGACACGGGTTCTTTCAAACTATATTAGAACAAATTTTACAATAAACCGCAAAAGTAATCACAAAACTCTTGATATTTTTGTTTTTAATTATCGTAGATCAATTACCGTTCAAATTTTTAACATCTTTTCAATAATGATTTACAAGGATTTTTTTTTTAATTTTTGCATGATAGTCGAAAATACATATTTGCGTCTATTCTATGAACGTTATGACAGAATACTGCCAAACTGCTGTCACATGTGTCTTATAAGGACTTTATATTATAAATAGCAAATCTGCTTAATTTGTTTAAATTAAAAAAGTCCGATTTGGAACACGGTCCGATTTAGGGCATTCTCCCCTATAATAAAGAAAAGAGCAATTTTTAACAGAATATAAGTATATAATATTTAACAGAGTTACGAAAAATTGCAATGTTGTACTTAAACGACTGAGATGTCAGATTGAAAATTGAATGGGAAAATAAAATTTGATCAATTTTCGAAGATACATTCTGATAAGAATATCAGAAGGCATTTCTTTAATTTCGGAAGCTCAATCGACAAATTAAATATAGCGTATAGCCACATGTCACGTGACGTGATCGTTTTGTATTTTTAATCTTATACAATATTAAACAGAGCACAAGTACCTCCTTGGCCATTTTACAGTACGGACAGTACGTCTTGGAGAATATGACGATCGAGTCCTTGGCGATCAATTCTTTGACGAAGTCTCGCGTCGACGGCATGATGGTCCTTTTTGTACTGGAAACTATACCCATTCTATTGAGCTAAAGAGATCATTACGCTTGATTATGCCTCGGCGCTTTAGTCTCGCACGTGTTAGCGTTAACGTTCGCAGTTCAATTATGAATAGATTCGAATCGCGTGTCTGATGTCCGATGTCCATTGTCCGGAGTCTGACAGAGGAAACTTGCGTTCCGAGAGCTTTGTGGATGACAATTTATCTCTTTCTACACAAACCTTGCCGATGGATATCGGACGTGGATTAAATCGATTGGTTACTCTTACGATAATCATGTAGTATATACGCGATTTCATGCAGCATCTACATTATTATTACGATTAACAATGTCTGATAAAAATTCGGCCACTTGCATGTTAAAATAACTGACATACTTTCTTGAAATTAATAACATTAAATATAAAAATATATATATGTAAATATTTTTAACGATTAAATACCTAGATAATAATAAAATACACTACTACGTTATTTTTTTAATATACAAAATATACATGTATTATATATTTCAATGTCAAAATTGATTAAATTATTCCACTGCATTTAGATATTGTATATGAAACAATTTTTAATATAATATGTACTGATCCAATGTAATGTCAGTGATCGAGTTCAATGCGTTCAGTAGAAAAAACAGTTTTGCAATCGTTATAAAATTCTTTAACATGACATTAATCTTGCTCTTATTGTTAGTTCTTTTCTAATCTAACTGTAAATGTTTAAAACCAATCGTATTAAAAAATGTTATGACAAATGCAAAGCTGCTTTTTCTGCTGAACGCATTATGAATGAATACTTAATGGGTTCTTTTATTGACATTTTCTTCTATTAATTAGGACAAAATATAATTAGCATCATACTTCGATCACACAATTTGCATAATTAAGTTTTTTTTTAACCATTTCCAACTTTAATAACGATAATAAATTACAGAATATATTTCTGGCATAAATTTGAATATGTCTGTACGTATGAATATTTAAATGACTTCTATAAATCGACCAATTTATTAAATTATTTACTCGAAAGAATAAAAATCTCTGACCAACTAATTATTTCAATGTAGTTAATCGTATTATAATTTTCTGCCAATTTCGATACAATCGTACAATCGAGAACATTGTCGTTTACAAACTATTTCATTTCTTTCAAGAGTCGAATGTTTGGTCAGTGTAACAATAGCTATCGGTGAGAAACGAATAAGACAAATGTGCTACATTCGTGCATAACTAAAAAGATAACACGCACCTGAGGCACATGAGTACAAAAGAAGCTCGATAATAATATTGATCTATTTGGATTTGGAACGCAGGTAGTATAGTTAACGATACATGGCAAACGTCAGGAGATCAAAGACCTCGTCCGTTTAGATTCGCCCTTACCTCTAATTGCGATTAACGTCACTTTAAGGGAATAAATATATGTCACTACAGGAATTGGTTGCCAATCGACAAATCGGCAAAGAAATGAATTGTAATACTGTCTACCTCTGGACACGAGACACGTTTTGCAGCTGATTGATGCGATTTAGGTTAAGTTTTACTAGCGTTATCATTAAGTCTCATTCACACGACATCATGACGAGTGACATCGCGAACGAAAAAACTACAAAAAACATTTGTGAAAATGAGGTCGGTTGCCAGTAAATTCTAATCAACTTATGTCCAATTGGTGATACAAGTCGACATAAGTGTTCTGTCTTTGTTATTCTCTGAATATTAAGAAAAACAGAATATATTTGTATCAGCTAAATCGATCACTTATTACGTTACGTCATCAAATGGAAACACCCAATAACTTTTTAATTTACTCGTTATCTTTTTAATTTTTAAAATTAGAAGAAGGTATAGATAAGTTAAACCAAGATTGTAGTTATAATGATATATATTGGTGGAGATAAACATTTATTAGGTCTACTCTATTCTATAACTTTTAAGTATGTCGTTATATTATTATAAATTTCTGTTGCGTATTTTTACATTGTATAAAACAAACAATTGCGTAACGATATGTAACGATACTTTTATAATTGACAAATAGTTGAATCAGCAAAATTGCTTAAAGCAAAATTTTATTATATTTCATTTTGCCCCTATATAATTTAATATAATTTTATCTACAAGTTAAAATCTCAATATTTTTTTCACACATATTAGTAGATATAATTTTGAATTAAAATAAATGTAATATTAAATATTTATTAGGGTTCGCTACTTCATTATAAGATCGAGATGACATCGAGTAGAAGTAATTTTTTAGGAGAAATATAGTATGTTGTTATCAATATATAATATTATCATATAAAATATATATACATATATTTTTTGTGAATTCTTGACAAAATGGTTTTTAAATAAAGCAAATAAGTTTATTCTCTAGTAACTTTAGAATGACGTAAAATGTGATGTTTTGCTTGACAAAACATCAGAGCGACACTTTTTTCAGCCAGATTCTTTCGTTTCATGCAAAAATGCGTCGAATAAGCCTAATTTGATCGATTTTTGAGGTGAGGCAGTGATTCTGTATAATTACCCTTTTGACATTGGCAGTGTGACACGCTATCGATTAATCGAATGTCGGTTTAACTGCGAGATTCGTGGATCGACAACGGTTGACGGTAAGTCGATGGTTATCGCGTTGGAACTATTGGAAGTTCGCAATGATGTGGGGACGTATCGTATGGAGGGAATAGGGAAGTGGCTGTCTGTACGGCGATCGACGTGACGGATCTTCGCTAACGTCCAGTAATCAAATTTGTTCAACTGTGTTGTACGATCTTTCGGAATCCTGTTATGGCGTAGCAACGGAATCACGCAAGGATGAGTAGAATCGCAAGGCCTCCAGGCCCCTGTAGGGGCGGCTTATATGTTGTCGAGGGCGAGGTTGGCCTCCTGGTGACGGCAATGCGACGAGGTGCCCGATGGTCGTCGCACTCTCACCAGGTAGAGGATCTTCCTTAATTTATTTACCGACTGTTCAACGATTAAGACTATTATTAGAAATATATACTTGTTATTGTTCCTAATCAAATCAAACAGGTTGTAGAAATTGGTCTGATGACACTTCAAATTTGTATAAATAGACACGTCGAATTTATGTGTAAATAAATTTGTCACATTACAATCATCTCCAGCTGTAATTTGGCATAACAGATGGAGATAATTGTCATGAGAGATCTTGAAGAGATTTATGTTCTAATTGTTTAATTTAATATTCAGGATGATGATCAGGATACTCTCATGAAAGGCTTGAATACCTTGAAGGAAGTATTAAATGAACACAGAGATTTATCTCAATTAGAACCTGCAGTTTTTCTCACTCCCTTTCTAGAAATTATAAGATCTGAAGAAACTACTGGACCTGTGACTAGTCTAGCATTGTCGGCTGTTAATAAAATAATTTCTTATGGTCTCGTTGGTTAGTTTTAATTATTGTGATAACAGAAATTATTATTTTTATCTTATAAAATATATGTTGCTTTTTTTAGATCCTAATCATCCTGCCATAGCAACTTGCGTAGAAGCTATAGCAGATGCTGTTACACACGCAAGGTTTGTAGGTGCCGATGCATCTGGTGATGGAGTAGTTCTTATGCGAGTTTTGCAAGTACTGAGAGCCCTCATGTTATCGTCTGCTGGTGATCATCTCTCCAATGAAAGTGTATGTGAAATTATGCTGAGTTGTTTTAGGATATGTTTTGAAACACGTCTTAGTGGTGAGTTGTACTGGTTTCAAATTACTGTTGTGATAAATTACGAGTGTATATAATAAAATATTTTTATAGAAATACTTAGGAAAACAGCAGAGCATTGCCTGAAGGACATGGTTCAACACTTGTTCACCAAATTACCTCAATTTGTCGACGACACCAGAGTTTTGCCAAATATGAAAGTAAGTTGCATAATATGTGATTTATTAAATGTGTACATATAAAATACAAACATACATGAGACAATGTAATTTTTGACAGAAAATGAGAACTAATAGCATAGAAAATACTCGTGGCAAGAACAGAAAACACAAAAGTTATACGAAGCAAAAATCCAAGTCTACCACGGATGACATTGACGACAAGGAATCGATTTCAAATTCAGTCGATAAAATACGAACTGGTCACTTGGCTACTACACCTGTCTCACCAGCTGGCAATATTGTTGACATGCAGGGATCATTGAATCATGGAAGTGTTGATAAAAACGAGGATGAGAAAAATGAAAACAAAAATAATATTAACAAAGACAATAATGTTAAAGATGGAAATGACTGTATCAAAGCGGTAGATAATCAAGAAACTGATAAAAAACAGGAGATTGATAAAGACGAAAGCAATAAAGATATTAAAAGTGAAATAGAAACACTCGAAGCGAATAGCACACCTGAAAATATCATTATGGAGAATGAAGGTGCAGCTTTAACAGAAAGTAAGAGTGTAGAAAGGGAAGATGCGGCTGATCAAAAAATCACGGATGAATCCGAATCTTCCATTAAGCAATCTATTTCAGAAAATCAAGGTACTTATTCTTGTTGCTATTTTAAATTAATTCTTAATTTCTAATTTATTTTTTGAATAATTATGTAGGTGACGAAGAAAAAAGTATTGATTTAGCACAATCTCCGACTGGTAGTGTGGAAGATTTATCAATAGACGAAAACCTGTCTAGAGCGTCTAAAATGAAAGAGTCTGAACAAATCGAGGAGTATGTGAATAGTCAGGGTGTCCGATTTATTCCATTGCAACAGCGAGCGCCATATGGCGCGTTGTGCGTTCGTGAATTGTTCAGATTTCTCATCTCTCTATGTAGTCCCCTAGACAAGCAGAACAATGAAATTATAACTCATCTAGGTCTTAGCTTATTGCAAGTAGCGTTGGAAATCGCCGCCGACGCTCTATCTAATTTTTCATCCTTGCTTGCGCTCGCGAAGGACGACTTATGTAGGAATCTAATCTTGGTGAGCGAAAGCAGTTAATTAACTATACTTAACGTTGTTCATTAATAAAGAAATAGTCGATGAATATTGTATTTATGTATTAGCTAATTGGAACAGACAGATTGTCGATCCTCGCTATAAATCTCCAAGTATCATTCTTGCTGTTTGAGTCACAAAGAGAACATCTAAAATTTCAACTGGAACATTATTTGATTAAATTAATGGAAATAGTTGTTTCTGAATCTAATAGAATATCATACGAGCAACGAGAATTATCGCTTGGTACGTTTTAATTTCATAGCAATTGTATAATATATATGTGGCAACATAAATTTTATTACTATAATTTACAGAGGCTATAGTAAGATTGTGGAGAATACCTGGTTTACCTGCTGAATTATATTTAAATTACGATTGCGGACTTTATTCTTCAAACTTGTACGAGGAACTTATGAAAATGTTTTCTAAAGTATATTTTTTCCTCCTATATATATTATCATAAATTAATACCTAAAAAATGATTTAGATATAGAATTTTTATATCTTTTGAAATTTTCTTTTAGAATGTTTCTCTACCAATGACCACTGGTATGCATACCATGCAATTGATTTCCTTGGACGCCATAATGATGCTGATCATCGGCATGGAGATTCGTTGTAAAGGCTGTAAGGAATTGTGCAAACCATCACGTCATGAGGCGTCGTCAAATCTGCCCACGCGTGAAGATTTACTTGCTATAAAAGCGAATAAGCGAGTAGGTATTTATTATCCACTTATTTCTAATGTAGTTACTACAATGAATCAAATCTATTTTTGTCATTTCCAGTGGTTGGTTGTTGGCACAGAAAAGTTTAACGAGAATCCACGGGAGGGTATCGCGAAACTTACGGAGCACGGTTTGCTAGGCGGTACTCCAGGTCACTCGGATCCAGAAAAAATTGCTAAACTTCTAAGAGAGAATCCTGGTTTAGATAAGAAAGCGATCGGTGAATACATCAGCAAGAAAGAAAACAAGAACATTCTCAATTATTTTGTGCATAATTTTGATTTAAGAAATACTCGAATTGATCAGGCTTTACGACTTTATCTGGAATCGTTCAGGTTACCTGGGGAAGCTCCTCTTATATCTCTTCTACTTGAGAAATTTGCCGAACATTGGCATGTGCGTATATATATTCAAGTAGCGTTTTAAAAATAACGCAGGCGCGTAGATAGTATAACAAATTGTTTCTGTGTTTAGGATAGCAATGGTAGACCTTTTGCTTCGGCTGATGCCGCCTTTACGTTAGCTTACGCGGTTATTATGCTAAATGTTGATCAACATAATTATAACGTAAAAAGACAAAATAATCCTATGACTACTGATCAATTTAAAAGAAATTTGAAGAAGGTTAACGGCGATAATGATTTTGATCAAGACATGCTCGATGAAATATATACTTCTATTAAGTAAGTGCTATAAATATTTAAATTAGACCTAGCGATTATTCTAATCCTAAATATTGTTTATCTGTTATTTGTGCAGAGGGGAAGAGATCGTGATGCCAGCCGAACAAACTGGACTAGTGAAAGAAAATTATTTATGGAAGGTCTTATTAAGAAGAGGCTCTGGACCTGAAAGTATGTA